ATGGCCTTCAACTTCTTGTGTTTCCGGGCGCGCACCTTGGTCAAGGTGAGCCGCTCCACTGGGATTTTCGTGCCTGTGCGATGCAACCTGTAGTATTGTTGCAGTTTCGCTTTCAACTTCTGGAGCCCGAGTGCACGTTTTCTTTGAGCACCCCCTTGGTTGTCCCGAAACGCTCGGGGACAGCTTGGGCAACAACGCCCACCACGCCTCCCCGAGAACTTACGTTAGTATCCCAAGGTCCATCACGCGCATCCAGCCCAGCTTCATCATCGACCACCAAAAGTGGGGTGCCCACACCAGCCGCGGTACAAAACAGAATGGCGAAGTGCCGCGCTGGAGCCGACTCACGATCGACGCATCCTGATCTCGTCTGAATTGTTTCAAATCGGGCCTGTCCCCCTACAGGGAGATTTTCTACGAAAAAAAATAAAAATACCCCAAACATAGTCAAACACATCCAAAAATAGTGTGGGGGGATCATGTTTACATTATGTTGTACCTTTTTGGTGTGAATATATATATATATATATATATATATATATATTGTCGAAAATTCCCTTGTAGGGGGACGCGCCCGACTTAAGAATTGTTCGTGCGTTCTCACGGATCGCCACCAGGGTGCTTGCAAAGAACAACTGCGCCAGCCCAGGGGGCCTTCGCGGTAGGCATGGCTTAGGGTCAAGTCGGGCCTGTCCCTCTTCAGGAGGAATATTCAAAAATAGTACAAGATAGTCGGGAACCACTTTTTGATTATGTCAGAGTATGTTAGGTGTTTTGCGTATTCTTATTTAATCGCTTCGCTCATTCCGCCGGCCCATACGGTCTCATGTCTGCCGTTTGCCCGAGGGCCTGGTGTCAATGCGGCGCTTTGGGGGTTCCTGGGGCCGCTTGGGGGACTCCTGGGGCGCTCGGGGGGGCATTTGGGGGGCCTCCTGGGGCCGCTTGGGGGACTCTTGGGGGCCTCCTGAGGGCCTCGTGGGGGCCTCTTGGGGCCTCTTAGGGGCCTCTTGGGGCCTCGTAGGGGCTTCTTAGGGCCGAGGGCGCGAAATTTTGTTTCGTGTTTCCTCTCTGGGGCCCCTTTGGGGGTGTTCTTGGGGCCCTCTTGGACCGTCTTGGAGGCTTCTTGGGCCGTCTTCGAGCCCTCTTGGGCCATCTTGGGGCACTCTTGGGGGCCTCTTGGGCCCTCTTGGGGCGATCTTGGGGGCCTCTGGGGCCGTCTTGGGGCGTCGGGAACCGAAAAGGTGGAAGCTCCAAAATCTTTCAAAAACCTAAGAAAAACAATGAATTTTGCCTCCGGGGGCCCTCTTGGGAGTGCTCTTGGAGGCCTCTTGGGGCGTCTGGGGGCTATCTTGGGCGTCTTGGAGCGATCTTGTGGCATGTCGGACCCCTCGTGTACCATCTTGGGGGCCTCTTGGGGGCCTCTTGGCCTTTCTTGGGGCTCTCGGGGACGTCTCGGAGCCCTGTTGGTGCGCTCATGGAGCGCTCCTGGAGCGCTCTGGGGGACTCCTCCCGGGACTCTCTCAGGACCTTGCCGGGGTACTTTTCGTCCGGGGACCCCCAGGGGCCGCCCCGCGCGCGCGAACTAGAGAATTGTTAACCAGTTACCGGAGATCTTAGCACGCCTCTGGCCCGTTGGGCCGGCGAACTTTTTTTCTGCGTGTCGCATCGCCTCCTAGCCTGATAATGTTTCAGAAGGATATGATTCGCTGCGCTCCGCAGCCCCTCGCGAGTCTCGAGAAAAATGTTTCGGTTTCGAAGTCAAATAGCCCCCGCAGATGCCGCCGCCCATTTTGGGCTCTCGGACGGTAGCGGAGCGTTTCGGCGCTGGGCGATCCACGGCTACAGAGACATCGTCGGCGAAGGCCTGCAAGAGCGAGGGCATTTGAGCTCATCAGCATCGGCAGCGGCGGTGAGAGAGACTACCCATCAGAGGATACTGGTCGGAGCTCGGCAGGTGGCCGTGTGCTATCAAGAAGCAGGGCCAGCTCGCGATCCAAGACAGCGAGGATGGCGACGCCAAGGGAGATCGCCAGAAGGTTCGAGGCGCTCGAGCAGGCGAACGTAGAACTGGTCCAGCAGGCTCGACGCCAGCGGGACCGAGCGGATCAACTTCAAGAGGCAGCCGCGCGCGCCGCTGACGGTGGCGAGGCGGCAGGGGCAGCGGCTGGAGCAGCTGCTGCAACGACGGCAGGGCTCGACTCGACGCCGTTCGACACGAAGATTACGAAGAACCCCGATAGGTTCGATGGCAAGCAGGAACCCTGGTTCAGACTGGAGTTTCTTGTTCCGTAGCTACGTTGCATCCCAAGACGAGCGCACCATCGAGCTGATGGATAGGAGTACGACCATGGACGAAGAAGTGGCCATGGGCAGATCGTTCAACGACGAGAAAGCTGGAGACGAGAAGCGCTCGAGGATGCCGTTCCACTTGCTGACGGTGAGTATGACGATGAAGCCTCGTGGATTCCATCTGATCAAGAACACGAAGAGCACCGGCGGTTTCGAGGCTTGGAGGCAGTGATCATGGAGCACGAACCCAGGGTCGGAGAACGACGGGGCGCGCTGCTCAACCAGTTGTTGAACACAACGTTCAACGCGGGAGTCGGACGCAGAGAAGCCGTCGAGACGTTAGGGCGTGAGGTCACCGAGTATGAGGAGCAGGCCGAGGATATATTGCCAGAGTCTATCAAGGCGAACGCGTGCTGGTCCAAGGGCCAAAAAGCAAATTCTGAAGTCTCACCTGGCGTTGAATTCGAACAGGCCCATGAGTTATAAGGACATCAGAGAGGAGATAATGGGCTACATCGTGAATCATCGTGTTTGGCGTCGAGACAACGATCAGGTGGTGCCGATGGACGCGCATGCAGTTTGCAGCTGGTACGACAAAGGCAGTGCAGACTCCAAAGGCAAGGGCAAGAATGCCAAAGGTACAGTCAAAGACGACAAAGGCAAAGCCAAAGGTAAAGGTACAGACGACAAAGGAAAGTCCAAGGCTGCGAAGAAGGACGAGTGGTGCGACTGGTGCAAGATGGCAGGGCACGCGACGGAGACGCGCAGGAGAAAGAGACGCTATGATCACTGGCAGGCGGGCCAGAACAGCAATACCAATGCAGTCGTTCCGCAGCAGCAACCAGTTCAACCTGGATGCGCGACGTCGGCCATCGGCCCGAACGAACCGGCATCACTCGTGAACGCGATTCCCATCAGCATGTTGGCGCAACATCACCTGGACATGGCGAGGAGACTGGCGCAGTCGACAGTCGGCCCATCATCGGCGGTTCCAGGGTCGGTGATGGCAATTCAAAAGGTGAGAGGAACGCCGACCACCATTCAAGAGGAGCGCGCGTGCCCGTGGCCCGACACATACGACGAGGGAGCCATCTACGTGGGCATGCGGCGGCCGCAGGTGCGAGCAGCTTTGAAGGCGACGACGCGGGCTACCTGATGATTGACAGCGGCGTTGGCATCACTACTTGTTCGATGGAGTTCGCAGAGGCAGGACCACAGGGCAGTAGCAACTGGCTTGAGCCGGAGAATTTGCCGCCGCTTGAGGCCGCGACAGGGCAGTTGATCATCCGCAATGGCGCGTGCGAGGTCAACTGCATGGCGACGGCGCTCGACCAGCAGCAGGAGATCTTCAAGATGAGGTTCCAGGTCACGAACGTTAAGTACCCGATCGTGGCGCAGCAGGACTTGCTGGAGGCAGGCTTCGTTCCTAAAGTACGGGGTGTACTCGAGCGTGCTGGAGGCGCCGAGTGGCCGGATCTTCCCACTGGTGCAGCAGGGCCGCATCTGGTGCACGAAGGTGAAGCGCGTGGTCACAGCTAGCGAGGCAGCAGTCACGATCGCCCGGCTACGACAGCCAGCGGTGGCTCAACCCATTCCAGTCTATCGGGATGGACGACAGCCAGGACCAGCAGGAGGCGAGGCAGCAGGAGTTAGCCCAGGAGGAGCAGCGAGCTCATCAGCCGCAGGAGCGGCACCCGCCGCAGCGGCAGCAGCAGCATAACCTGGAGACGCTCAACCTGCTGACCACCTGGAGATCGCTCGCAATCAGAAGGGGCACCGTCGAGCTGTGCGACGGCCCCGAGAGCAGGGTTGCGAGAGCGAAGGGCGTTCCAGTGATGCCGCCGCTTGCCGAGCGTCAACTGCATCGACTTATCCACTGGCCGCATCGCTCGCGGTGCAAGGCTTGCGTAGTCGGAGGAGGGCGCGAAGAAGTTCATCCCAGGGCGGACCAGGGGAGAGGCGCGCCCCATGTCTGAACCGACTACTCGTTCCCAGGAAGGAAGGGCACCGATGACCTGATGACGCGGCTGGTCTGCCTGGACTTCGAGTCGTCGGCTACCGAGAGTGCGAACGTCATGGGGGAGGGCAAGGTGGATTGCGGCGTCGAGGTTTTGGTGCAGGCGTTGCAGTACTGGGGCCGCAAGCGCGTGGTGGCGTCGAGTGATCAGGAGAACGCGATCACGGCGCTTGCGAGAGCGGCAGCAGCCGCACGAGACGAAGAGACGGTGTTGCAGGTCGGCCCGAGGCTCGATTCCAAGTCAAAGGGTCCGATCGAGGCGGCTGGAGGCAGAGTCCAGCAGCTCATTCGCGCGCTCGTGCACCCGTCAGTGCGCACTACAAAGTGGAGCCCCGAAGCCAAGCGAGCCGATCAGCAGTTGGTTGGCGAGGCGCGCAGGCTGGATCCTCACGAGGTTTACCGTGAGAGAGGATGGGCTGACACCGCATCGTCGGCTCAATGGACGAGATCACCGCGGTCAGATCGCAGAGTTCGCGGGGAGCGCGATGCACAAATTACCCCGGGAACCGCTGGGAAGATGGCGGCCAGATGGGGCAGGGGCATCTGACTCGACAAGGCGAACGTCAGCGATGAGCACATGATCGGCACACCTCGGGGACGGGTCTTTGTGAGATCGATCGCCAGGGGGCCCGACGAGAAGCGTTAGGACAATGACCTCTTCAGCCAGATCATCTGCGCACCCTTCGACCCGAAGGCAACGCTCTCGGCGCAGGACGCCGCGGACAGGCCGAGGTACATGACCAAGAGGATTCCCAACCGGTTGGGTCGGGCACCTGGCTGCCCAGCTTGCGACGAGACGGGCCAGTGCAACGCTGCGGAGTGCAGAGCCAGACTGGAGGCTTTGCTGGGCGCGGAGGACATTGCGAAGGGCCTGGCAGCGCAGGCTGGGGCGCGAGTTGAGGCACCACCACCAGCTCGAGAAGCGGTCAGGAAGCAGTCGAAGCGTGCACCAGCAGAGGGGCCAGGGCGTGGAGCAGCAGCAGCCGCGGCAGCAGCCGCAGCAGCAGCTCCCAGCACAGCGGAAGACGTGGCGATGGACCATGAGGAGGACAGCGTCGAGATGATGGTGCAGGATCCCGTGGATATTACCGAAGGAGTAAAACGACAGGTCCCAGAGAAGGAGGAGACGCCAGAGAGCAAGAAGGCGCGCGTAGTCGGCGGACTGGCCGTCAACGCCATGTCAATGGAGCTGCGCGCGGTGGACCTCGGCGAGTACGCCGCGGAGCCGTGCGAGGAGAAGTGCCTTTCCAACGCCAAGGGGGCGCTCTCTGGACAGCTGCTTCCAGCGGAGAAGGTTCGCGAAAGAAGAGCTCGAGAGCGTGCCAAAATGAAAGAGCATGGAGTGTTCACGCGGGCCCATGTCACGGAGGCGAAAGGCAAGCGCGTCAGGGGCAAGGGTTGCAGGGCGGGAAGGTGGGCGCCGACGCTGCGCGGTGCAGTTTCGTGGCCATGCAGGTTGCCTACCAGGCGCGCGATGACGTATTCGCTGGGGCGCCCCCGCTGAAGTTCGTCAGGCTGGCACTGGTGCTGGCAGCGACGTTCAGGAACCGCAGGAAAGTCTACCTGATAGGGCTCTGGGGCATCAGCAACGCGTCCTGCCGCGCTGAGATGGGCGAGGACGCGTGCGCGGTGCCGCCCTCAGGTGGGGAGGAGCCACATGTAGCGCGGCATTTGCGGAAGGCGCTGTACGGGACCAGGGGAACGAGCAAGCTGCTCCAGCACACGATCCGCATGTTGGTGACGGTGGTGTTCTACCGCGTCCAGAAAGGCATCTACATCGCGGTGCACGGAGACGACTTCATGGCCGTGGAGGCGCTTGAGGACCTGAGGTGGCTTAACGAGATCCCGGAGGCGAAGTTCGAGGTGAAGCGGTCGCCGTTCGTGGGGCCCGCAGAAGCTGGAGGTGAAGCGACGTCTGGCCATTTCCTGAATAGGACGGTTAGTTGGACAGAGAAGGGTTTCCACTGGGAGAGCGACGCGAAGCACGCGAGGACAGCGGTCGAGGCCTACGGGAAGTTGCCAGCGGCGAGGGAGATCCCGCCGGCTTCCAGGGGCATCGGGGAGGAGGTGCCAACGGCGTTGGACAAGCTGGGATTCGCGGAGAAGCTGTTCCAGTCGGCGGCGCCGACGGCACTGTACATGGCAGCGGACAGGCCTGACATACAGTTCGCGACGAGCTGGATTATGCGCGGGATGCAGGAGCAGCTGGTGCTCCACGAGCTGTAGCTGAAGCGGGCGTCTGCCTACTTAGCGACGCACCCGCAGATGATGTGGAACTTTGAGTATCAGGAGTTACCGAGCGAGGTGACCGTCGGACTGGGCTGGAGATGAAGTGAACCGCAGGAGCCGCGGTGGAGGATTCGAGTACATATGGAGTGCGTGCATTGACAGCTGGGCTGGTCAGCAGGCGACACTTGCGCGGAGCAGTGGAGAAGCTGAGCGTGTGGATATGACCAGCGGCGCTGCGCGGGGGGTCTTCACGAAGAATATGTTTGAGAAGATGGGCAACGGGATGTCGGTGAAGGCGTGCGGTGGCAGCACCGCCGCAATCGGGATATGCTCGAGGCTGGGTGTCGGACGCATCAGACACCTGGATGCGAAGTACCTGTGGTTGCAGGAGAAAGTTGCCGAGGGATGGGTGCGCACCGCGAAGGTGCCGACGACAGAGAACGTAGCGGATCTTATGACCAAGGTTTTGGAGCCCGCTCGTCATCGCGAGCTTGTGAAGAGACTGCCCATGACCTTGGAGATCGCGAGGGGCTTGCCGAATCATGGACGCAGTGAGCTTGCAGCAGCTGTGCGTTTCACAGTGATTGCAATGCTTCGTTGATTTCCACGTGCAGAGCGCCGCCGGGAATCGTGGAGCTCGAAGCCGCGAAGAGAACAGAGTTTCTATTTACTGAAACCGACCTGTTAGGGCCAGACGTCGGGGCGCCGACCGTTGCCCGCAGCAGGTTGATAATCGAGATATGATACCGTGTGGGCTGGAGCGCGATGTCGCGTTTCCGTCAGTCGTCGGTTTGCGACATCTGCCGAGGACGAGTGCATGTCATATCGCCTCCTGGCCTGCTACTGTTTCAGACGGATATGATTTGCTGCGCTCCGCAGCCCCTCGCGAGGCTCGAGAAAAAAAGGTTTCGGTTTCGAGATCAGATAGCCCCCCCCGCAGGTACCGCCGCCCATGTTGGGCTCTCGGATGTTCGCCCAAAATCGGCCTGTAGGGGGACACGCCCGACTTAAGCTTAGGGCCCCAATCGCTTGTCAGGAAGACCCCTGGCTCCCGATACCGCAGGAGGCTTCGTTTCTTCACCGACTTTCGGCCCTCCCCCCCCCAACGCTAATGCTTGCAACTCCCAGAGAAGAGCGTCCCAGATATCATTTACAGTCTGTTGCGTCGCATCCGACTTCCTGTGCGCTGTCAGTGCATGCTTGGACTGGAGCGTTCGGCCTTCACCGGCTCCCCGACGCTGACAATGTCCGCCACCGTGCCCTCGGCTTGCAACGGCGCGCGGGGGATTTCTAAAGGGGACTTTTATTCAGATTCCCATGAAGGAAGATTCATGCGTATGTTGCGATTGCGATTCCTATGGATATGTCATTGCGAGTCCCATGGGGGTCTCCCAGGGGATTCGCAGCGGGATTCCGATGGAGATTTCGATGGGGATCCCGATGGGGATTCCGATCAGGATTCCTATGGAAGTCCGATGGAGATCCCCATGGGGCTCCCATGGAGATTCCCATAGCGATTCTTCTGGTAGTTCCCATGGGGATTTCTGTTGGGATTCCTACTGGGAGTCCGTCGGGGATTCATATGGGGATCCCTACGGAGAGCCTTGCAGACACCCCTTGGTGGGAATTTCAATGCATCTCCCTGTGGAGATACCGATCGCGATGCGCGCGGGGATTCCGATGGGGACCCCCACGGAGATTCGCATGGGAACTCCCATGGACAATCCGAAGTGCACGAGAAAGACAACACGCCGTGACCACCCGCGCGGGCGTCAGGGACCTCCCGCCACGGCCCGAGCAGGCCTGGCCGCCGAGACGGCCCACGATGCCGTCCGCAAGAGCCCAGCACGGCCCAGTGGAGAACCAAGGAAGCCCACTGTATCCTCCTCCTCCTCCTCCTCCTCCTCCTCCTCCCCCTCCTCGTTCTCCTCCTCGTCTCCTCGTCTCCTCCTCCTCCTCCTCCTCCTCCTCCTCCTCCTCCTCCTCCTCCTCCTCCTCCTCCTCCTCCTCCCCCTCCCCCATCCCCCTCCCTCTCCTCTCCCTCCCCATCCCCGCCCTGAAAGCCAATGCGCGCCGAGACGGCCCAGGAATGCCCCGAAACAGTCCGAAGATGCCCCCGCGAGCGTCGGCGAAATGAGCCGTAGGCAAGCGTATACGTGCACAGCGCACAAGCTGTCTTGGTAAACGTCGACTCCCGCAGCAATGCCGTCCTCGTATATCCCTACAGGCACCACCGTCTCTCCCCGAGGTAAGCACTCTTCCATGAAGTCGTGGCCAGTGTGCGCTGGCGAATTTGCGAACGCAGACGCATTTGTGCCAGATCGGTCCATTTCTTGCCCACCGCGCTCTCGAGGCACGAGTTGGAGTGCCCTCGGGCCCCTTGTAAGCATCACTCCTCGGCCCTTGGGGTTGAACTGTCAACGGGCTCGGACCCCAAATCGCCAAATCTCCTAGAGTTCGGCGCCGTTCCCCATGGGGTTTCCGGCGCGGTGGCGCGCAGATTTCCCCAAGAGAGCTGCGCTGCAGGCCAGGAGGGCCACAGGAGGCCTCCGCAGCTCAGGCGGGCCCCGAAGCGCCCAAGCATCGCCCGAAGACGCCCAAGATGGCGCCCAGGCGGGCTTCGAGGCCTCCGAGACGCCCCAACAGGTCCCCCAGGAGGGCCAGAATCATTGGTTTTCCTTAGGTGTTTGAAGGATTTTCGCATTTGCTCCTTTTCGGCTTTCCGACGACCCAAGACGGCCCAAGAGGCCCCCAAGATCGCCCCCGCAGCGCCCAAGAGGCCTCCAAGATGGCCTCAGGACTGCCCAAGAGGCCCCCAAGACGGCCCCAAGAGGGCACAAAGCCGACCCAAGAAGTCTCCAAGACGCCCAAGATGGCCTCTAAGACGGCTCTGGAGCACCCCATGAGGGCCCCAAGTCGGCCCAGAGAGGCCCCCCAAACGGCTTCTGACAGCGCCAGACGGGCCAGGAGCCCACCAAGACAAGATGGCCAAAGTTGGCTCGAAGCTGGCCCAAGACGGCCCCAGAGGCCTCCAAGAGGGCCTCCAGGAGGGCCAGAAAAGGCCAAAAATATAGATTTGCTTTGGGTTTTTGAAGGATTTTGGCATTTGCTTCTTTTTGGCCATCAGAAGGCTCGATACAGCCCAAGAGCCCTCACATATCGATTTCCCATGAGTTTTGTTTAAAGGATTGTGGCATTTGCTTTTGTTTGGCCTTCCGACGGCCCGAGACGGCCCAAGAGCCCCCAAATATCGCCCAAGAGGCCCACGACGGCCCCAAGGGGCCCCCAAGACGGCCCAAGAGGCCTCCAAGACGCTCAAGGTGGCCTCCAAGACGGCCCAAAAGCCCTCGAAGACGTCCGCCAAGAAGGCCCGAAAGGGTCCAAATGGCCTCCAGACGGCCAAGATGACCTTCAAGATGCCCACGTGTTCCCCGAAGGCTTTCCAAACCGATTCGGGGAACACATGGTCCTTTAGCTTGGCAGGTCTGGCCTCAACGTTTGGCCACATAGGCGCTTCCAAAAAGGCAGGGGGGCGGCGGTGATTCGCCGTAGGCGTCTTAGATCCGCCGCCCCCCTGCGACTGTCGATTCATCGCAGGGGTGCCTGGCGTGCTGAATTATTTCGGTTTTGGTTTTGGTTTTTTTCCCAGAGAACTCCCCCTGGGGCTTCGGCCCGTCCCGCCGGCCACCCGCTTAGAGGCCATCTTGGGCGTCTTGGAGGCCTCTTGGGTCGTCTTTGGGCTCTCTTGGGGCCGTCTTGGGGGCCTCTTGGGCAGTCCTGAGGCCATCTTGGAGGCCTCTTGGGCGCTGCGGGACGATCTTGGGAGCCTCTTGGGCCGTCTTGGGTCGTCGGATGGCCGAAAAGAAGCAAATGCCCAAATCCTTCAAACACCCAAGGCAAATCGATGATTTTGGCCTCTTCGGGCCCTCCTGGAGGACCTCTGGAGGCCTCTTGGGCCGTCTTGGAGGCCTCCGGGGGGCCTCTTGGGCCGTCTTCGGCCGTCTTGGAGTCTCTTGGGCCGTCAGGGAGGCCGTCTTGGACCATCTTGGGCGGACTTGGAGGCCATCTTGTACCATCTTGGAGGCCATCTTGGGCCAACGTGGCCATCTTGGAGACCATCTTGGGCCATCTTGATGGAAAAATTGGGACAATTGTCGGCCTTTCCCCAAGAGGGCCCCAAGTCGGCCCAGAAAGGCCCCCCAAATGGCTTCCGACAGCGTCAGACGGGCCAGGAGCCCACCAGGATGGCCGAAGTTGGCTGGCAGCTGGCCCAAGACGGCCCAAGAGGCTTCTAAGAGGGCTTTCAGGAAGGCCAGAAAGGGCCAAAAACATTGATTTCTTGTTGGTCTTCGAAGGATTGTGACATTTGCTTCGTTTCGGCCTTCCGACGGCCCGATACGGCCCAAGAGCCCCCAAAGATCGCCCAAGGATCGCTCAAGAGGCCTCCAAGATGGCCCCAGAACGACCCAAGAGGTCCCCAAGACGGCCCCAAGAGGCCCCCAAGACGGCCCAGGAGGCGTTCAAGACGCCCAAGATGGCCTCCAAGACGGCCCTGGAGCATTCCAGGAGGGCCCCAAGTCGGCTCAGAGAGGCCCCCCAAACGGCGTCGGACGGCCCACCAAGACGGCCGAAGATGGCCCGAAGACGGCCCAAGAGGCTTCCAAGAGGGCTTCCAGGAAGGGCCGACAAGGCCAACATCATTGATTTCCCATAAGTTTTTAAACGGATTGTGGCATTTGCTTTTTGTTTGGGCTTCCGACGGCCCGAGACGGCCCAAGTGCCCCCAAAGATCGCCCCAAACGGCCCCAAGAGGCCCCCAAGACGGCCGAAGAGGCCTCCAAGACGCTCAAGATGGCCTCCAAGACGGCCCAAGAGCCCTCCAAGACGTCCTCCAAGAAGGCCCGAAAGGGTCAAAATGGCCTCCAGGCGGCCAAGATGACCTTCAAGATGCCCACGTGTTCCCCGAAGGCTTTCCAAACCGATTCGGGGAACACATGGTCCTTTAGCTTGGCAGATCTGGCCTCAACGTTCGGCCACATAGGCGCTTCCACAAAGGCACGGGGCGGCGGTGATTCGCCGTAGGCGTCTCAGATCCGCCGCCCCCTGTCGATTCGTCGCAGGGGTGCCTGGCGTGCTGAGTTATTTCGGTTTTGGTTTTGATTTTGGTTCTTTTTCTACAACAATCCCCCTGAGGCTTCGGCCCGTCCCGCCGTGGTGCCGGGCGGATTGCCCAGGTGCTCAATCCAGGGAAAAATCTTCCAAGACGGCTCAAGATGGCCTCTCAAATAGCCACGTTGGCCCACGATGGCCTCCAATACTGTCTCCAAGTCCGCCCAAGATTGTCCAAGACGGCCTCCCAGACGGCCCAAGAGAGTCCAAGATACCTCCAAGGTCGCCCGAGAAGTCTCCAAGATGGCCCAAGACGACCCAAGAGGCCTCCAAGAGGTTCTCCAGGAGGGCTCGAAGAGGCCAGAATCATTGTTTTTTTCATAGGTTTTCGAAGGCTTTGGGCATGTGCTTCTTCTTGGCA